AAACATGAAAAGGGAATTAACAGCTTAGTAAAAGAGGCACTCAAAAAAATTACTGAAGAAAATAACACCTTAAAAAACGGAATTGATGAGGTAGTCAGGGGGCAGAGCCAAGATGTCAGAGAAAAGACAGACTTGCTTGAGCTCTCCCCCAAACTCCTTCAAATACATTTAAATGACTGCTCAAAACAAATTCTAGAGTGGCAAAACCCACAAAAGGACAGAGTAAAACAATTTTCCAGCCCAAGACAACTTAAAAGGTTGGCAGGATTTTTTGTGGTGGCAAAGAATTGGAAATTGAGGGGATGCCCATCCATTGGGGAATGGCTGAGGAAGTTGTGATATATGAATGTAATGGAATACTATTGTGCTATAAGAAATGATGAGCAGGCAGACTTCAAGAAAACCTAGAAGGACTTACATGAACTGATGCAGAGTGAAATGAGCAGAACCAGGAGAATATTGTACACAGCAACAGCCACATTGTAGGATGACTGACTTTGATAGGCTTGGCTCTTCATAGCAATGCAAGGATCTGAGATAACCCCAAAACACTCACGATGGAAATTGCTATCCACATCCAGAGAAAAAACTACGGAGTCTGAATGCAGATGGAAGCAGACTATTTGTTCTCCTTTTCCTTTGCTGTTTTGTTGTATTGCTTCATTCTCGTGGTTCCTCCTATAATATGGAATTGTTCTTTACATCATGACTAATGGGAAAATATGCTTGATGTGAATGTATAAGTAGAGCCTATATCAGACTGGGGGGGTGGGGAAGAGGAGTGGGAGTGGGAGAAAATTTAAAACTCAAAATCTTCTGGAAGTGAATGTTGAAAACTAAAAATAAATAAATAAATCTTTTTTTTTTCTGAAAGAGTTGGCAGGGAAGGTGTGTTGCACCAGGGCGAGAGTGGAACACAATCCAGCACAGACTGGGACCACAGCAAACCAGGAACAGGCACTGGGGACAACTGAATCAGCAGCAGCAGTGGCAGTTTCCAGACCTCTCAGCCCACATATGGTAAGGGGATAGAACAAGAAGGAGGTTACAGGGGTCTCTTTACTGGCATTGGGGGCAGAACTCTGTTACTTTGCCCATACACAGATCAGGGTCACAATCTTGGTCTCAGTCCCAGGGCGAGAAGTAGCACTAGCACACCAGAGCTTGCAGCTACAGTGAAGCAGAGACCCTGGTCACAGTTCCAGGCTGGAAAAGAGTGCTTGTGGTCCCTCACAGACCAATGCACAGTACAGGAGAGTAGTGAACACACCTCTCCCTAAATCATATTACCTTGGAAGAACCAAAAACTTACAAGTCTCCAGAATTACCTCTAAAAACAGCTGCACAAACACACACACACACACACACACACACACACACACACACAAACTGAAGCTTGGGACAGTGTCCCTTCCACTCCAGAAGCAAAGCCCCACTTTAGCATAGAGTTAAAAGTTGAGAAATAGGCTGGAAAAATGAGCAAACAGAAAAAAAAAATCCTGACTGTAGAAAGTTACAGGGAAGATCAAAATACATTCAGATCAGAAGAAGAAATCAAAGTCAAAACCCCTACATCCAAAGCCTCAAAGAAAAATATGAACTGGTCTTAGTCCATGGAAGAGCTCAAAAAAGGATTTTAAAAATCAAGTAAGAGAAGTAGAGGAAAAAATGGGAAGAGAAATGAGAGTGATATATGAAAATAATGAGAGAAAAAAAGAATCAACAGCTTGGTAAGGAAGGCACAAAAAATACTGAGAAAAAACCAACACCTTAAAAACCAGAATAGGCCAAATTAAAAAAGAGCCCAGAAATCCAATGAAGAGAAAAATGGCTTGAAAAGCAGAATTGGCCAAAAAGAAAAAGATATACAAAAATTCACTGAAGAGAAGAACTCTAAAAAGTAGAACTGGCCAAATAGAAAAGGAGGTGCAAAAGCTCACTGAAGAAAATAATTCCTTAAAAATTAGAAATGGGCAAGTGGAAGCCAATGACTCTATGAGAAATCAAGAATCAATCAAACAAAATCAAAAGAATAAAAAAAAATAGAAGAACGTGTAAAATATCTCATTGCAAAAACAACTGACCTGGATAATAGATCCAGGAGAGAAAATTTAAAAATTATTGGACTACCTGAAAGCCATAATAAAAAATTAGAGCCTAGCCATCATCTTTCAAGAAATTATCAGGGAAAACTGCCCTGATATTCTAGAACTAAAGTATAAAATAGACATTGAAAGAAGCCACCAATCGCCTCCTGAAAGAAATCCCAAAATGAAAACTCCCAGGAACATTATAGCCAAATTCCAGAACTCACAGGTCAAGGAGAAAATATTGCAAGCAGCCAAAAAGAAACAACTCAAATATCATGGAACCACCAGAGGATAACCCAAGATTTTAAAGTTTCTACATTAAAAGATCAGAGGGCTTGGAATATGATAATCTGGAGGACACAAGAGCTACGATCAGGGTTGCCCTGATTGTCTCACTAAAAAAAAAAAAGCTAGAATTACAACCAAGAATTACCTACCCAGCAAAACTGAGTATGATGCTTCAGGGGGAAAATGGATATTCAATGACATAGGGGACTTTCAAACATTCCTGATGAAAAGATCAGAACTAAAAAGAAAATTTGACTTTCAAATGCAAGACTCAAAAGAAGCATAGCAGGAAAAACAGGAAACATAAAAAAGGAAAAGAAATTATAAGGGATTTAATAAGATTAAACTGTTTACATTCCTACATGGGAAAATGATACATGTAACTCCTAAAAACTTTCTCAGTATTAGGGCATTTAGAAGAAGTATACATAGACAGAAAACATAAATATGAGTTGAATATGATGGAATGATTAGCTAAAAAAAAAATTAAAGGGTAAGAAAGAAGAATGCGCTGGAAAAATGGGAAAGGAAGAGGTGGAATGGGGCAAATTATATGACATAAAAGAGACCTGAAAGATATTTTACAGTGGAAGGGAAGATAAGTGGAAAGGGGAGGTGAGCAGAAAAACCTTACTCTCATCAGAATTGGCTCAAAGTGAGAATCACACACACACTCAGTTGGGCATAGAAATCTATCTTACCATACAGGAAAGTAGAAGGGGAAAGAGATAAAAGAAGGGAGGTGGGGCTGATAGAAGGGAGGGAAAATTGGGGGAAGTAAAAATCAGAAGCAAAACACTTGTGAAAATGGGCAGAGTGAAAGGAGAGAGAAAGTAGGATAAACAGGGGGAAAATAAGATGGAGGGAAATATATAATTGATAATCATTACCATGAAAAAAAAAGTTTTTACAGCAAGCTTCTCTGATAAAGACTTCATCTCTCAAATATATAGAAAACTGAATCAAATTATGGAAATAAGAGCCATCCGTCAATTGATAAATGGTCAAAGGATACGAATAGACAGTTTTCAAAGTAACCAAATCATCTATAGACATATGAAAAAATGTTCTAAATCACTATTGATAAAAAAGTACAACTTAAAACAACTCTGGGCTACCACCACACACCTATTAGATTGGCTAATATGAAAGAAAAGGAAAATGACAAATATTGGGAGAGATGTGGGAAAATTAAAAAACTAATGCACTATTGGTGGATGACTGAACCATTCTGGACAGCAATTTGTAACGATATCCAAAGCGCTATAAAACCATGCATACCCTTTGACCAAGTAATCCCAAAGAGATTAAAAAAAAAAAAAAAGGAAAAGGACCTAGGTTACAAAAATATTTCTAGTGTCTCTTTTTGTGGTGGCAAAGAATTGGAAACTGAGGGGATGTCCATCAATTGGGGAATGGCTGGACAAGTTGTTGTATATGATTGTGACAGAGCAATTATTGTGTTGTGGGAAATGACTGAGGATCTGGTTTCAGAAAAACGTGACAAGACCTATATGAACTGATGCAAAGTGGAGTGAGAACTGAAAGATCATTGTACATGGTAACAGCAAAGTTTAATGGTGATTGTGAAAAACTTGTCTACTCTGATCAATACAATGATCCAAGACAGTTTGAAAGGACTCATGATGAAAAATGCTGTCCATCTCCAGAGAAAGAACTACTGAATTCTGAGAGCACATTGAAGTATAATCTTCTCACTTTCTTTATTTTTCTTGGAATATGGATAACATAGAAATATGTTTTGCATGATTTCACAATAATTCATATCATATTGCTTGTCTTCTCAGTAGGGGGGAGAAGAGTGAGAGGGAGGGAAAAAATTTGGAACTCAAAATTTAAAAAGAATGTTTAAAATAAGTGGAAATTATTTTTTAAAAAAGAGAAGAAAGTGACCTCCTTGAGGGCAGGGACTGTATTTTTGCCTTTCTTTATATTTCCAACAATTAGCATGGTGCCTAGCACAAGGCACTCCATCTCCTGACTCCAGCATTTTCACTGTCTGTCTCCCATGCCTGGAATGCTCTCCCTCCTTGTCAATGCTGCTCTCTCCTGGTTCTCCTCTTAGCTGTCTGGTTGCACCTTCTCGGTCTCCTCAGCTGGATCTTCATTCAGGTTACGACCATTTAGAATCTTTTCCTTCTGTACTGTCTCACTCAGTGATCTCATCAGCTCCCATAGGTTCAGTTATCATCTGCATCTCTATATCCATCCCTAGTCTCTCTCCTGAGCTCCAGTCTCAAATCAGTCAGTCAATAAGTATTTATTAAGCATCTAATATGTGCCAGGCACTGCGCTAAATGCCGAAGATGCAAAGAAAGGCAAAAGAAATCCTCAGAGATCACAGTCTTGTGTGGAGGCAATACGCAAACAGTTACAAACAATCAGGATATGTAGAAAATAAATCTGAAATGGGCAATATAGGGAAGGCACTAGCAGTAAGAGGGATGGGGAAGGGGAAGCATTGTGTAGTGTTACTACATGACAGGCATTGTGTGAAGCACTTTACAAATCCTATCTCATTTGCTTCTCACAACAACCCAGCAAGGTAGCTGCTATTCTTATCCTCATTTTACCATTGAGGAAACTGAGGCAAACGGAGATTAAGTGACTTGGAAAGATTTCTTGCAAAAGGTGGGAAGTTAGCTGAGACTTGGAGGAAACCAGAGTAGCCAGAAGTCAGGGAAGAGGCAGGAGAGCCTTCCAGGCATGGAGAACGGCCACTGAAAATGCAGGAGTCAGGAGATGAAGTATCCTGTGTGAGGAACAGAAATAAGGCCACGCCTAACTCCTGTCATAGTAGGTACTTAAGAAATGCTTGTTGATTGATTGAACCAGGAGCAAAAGTGCCTCCATTCAGATTCTGCTCTGATACTGGGCAAAGATAACTGACCCAAGCAATTCGCCATGGGGTTTGGCCAGGGCGGGGTGATCATAAACCCACAGGTTTCAAAGGACAGTTTTAGAAAGCAGCCACGTAGCAGGGCACAATTTCAACAAGATTTGACTTTCCCTTGTCTTACTTAGCTCAATATTTCTGGGAGGGACCAAAAAAGAAAAATTAGTTGAACTGGAAACTCCCTGGCCTGCCTTCCCACCCCATGAAGTTAAGGGAGCTGTGGTCCAAGTCTACCTATGCATGACACACTCCTGATTGTTAACCACTTCTCCCAGAACACTACCTCCTCCTCAATCCAACTTCCTTTTAGCCCTTTCTTTCCCTCCCTTCCTCTAGTAATAGAAAAATGAATGAATTATGATCAAATCAATTCTACCACTGTCCCTGGACGGGGTGTGTCAACCTACTTCCCTTTGGAGTCTTTAAGTCCAAAATGCTCCGCTGTGGCCACTCTGTCTACTTTCCCATTAGAATGTGAGCTCTTTGAAGTAAAGGATTGCCTTTGTTTTTATATTTATACCCCAGTGCTTGGCACATAGCAATTACCTAATATAAACTTTTTCATGCTTTCATTCATGTCGGCTCTGTGACTTTAAGACAACTATCGCCAAGCACTTGCTGATCTTTTATGAGTAGAGGAAGTTTCTGTCCTCATGGGAGTTCCCTACACCAATCAATCAAAAGTCAGCTCCTCACTGATCACACCCTGTCAGTTCAGGACATGAACCCCAAGCTCCCTCCACCTTTCTCATCCATTTTGGTCCTCTCCAGAGGCCCCAGCCTCAACCTCCAACACCTCACTGACCCAGTGCTAGGCTGGTCCTCTTCAATACACCAGTTTCATCGTTTCCTACTCTGATTCCAGTTCCCAGCCCCAACCACTCTATGATATGGTTGCCTGATTGCCACCACTCCCCTCAGGCATCCAGGCATTTGAGGTCTCAGGCCTTGACCTTCTGCACACCCAGGCATTAAATAACAGCCTTCAGGGGCCTTCAGGTGTTCTTTCCCTTAACTCCTTCACACCCCCTTCCCCTCTGCAGAATGAATCAGAAAGACCAGGAAAAGCCATAAAATCAACTTTATTCTGAGTTGGAACCATCCCCCTTCCACCTCTTCCCCAAATTTCCCAATTGCCAGACCGCGGTATTCAGGCCTGGAGCCCTGAGACATTAGGGGAAATGCTTTTCTTGGGAAGAATCTTTGCAACATGCTGAAGGGAGAAAAGACAGGGGTCAGTCCTGGGTCCTCTGGCTGAGAGTAGAGGCAGTCTCCCTCCCACCCTCCTCCCCCACCCCTTTCCAGCCCCTCTCCTTGGCTCACCGGCTTTTCTACTGCTCTCTCTTAAAGCAACGGGAAGTCCGGACAGCACAGGGCGTCTACTCCTACGGCCAGAACGAGTAGAAAGGCCAAGGCAAGGCCTGAAATGGCCCCAGGACCCAGCACTCTAGAGGGTGACTGTGGGGAGAGGATAGAGAGAAAAAGGGGGAAAAATGCACCGGTGGATCTTCGGGGAAAAGGAGAAATCATTAGCCCTAGACCTCCGGTCCTCATCCCTTTAAGGACACTGATATCCTGGATCCCCACACCCTCAATAATTTCGAGTTCTGCCCCAACCCTTCGGGCCTTCATCTGGGCCTTCAGCTCCAGCACCTTCCAGACACCCAGGCTTCTAGGCTACCAGTCACACCAAAATTCAGTCCTTGAAGGTCCTGGTACTGATGTCAAAAGGCAACAAGGATTGAGGAATTCGGACCCCCAGCTCCAAATCAACCCCATCAGAAACTCAGGTTCCCAGCTCCCCATCCCCACTGCCTTAAGGATTCAGAGAAGTCAAGAGAGGAAGGGAAGGAGACTTAGGGGTCCGGATCTCCAGCCTCGGGCTCACCTTCTTCCAGCACCTGGATCTCCAGCTCCGAGGTACCAAAGGGATTGGAGGCGAGGAGTTTCATTGGGGTGAAATCTGCCTTCTCCTTAGGGATGAACTGAAACAGCAGGACGGAAATGGGAAGGGAGCTCCCGTGTCTGAGCCCTTGGACCTGGTCCCCAGATCCCACCGCCTTGGGGACGCAGATGCCTTTAGAGAACGAGAAACTGGGCTCTTCCGCCTTGCGCCCCTCCCCCTCACCCCCCCCCCGCCCAAGACCAGGGTGTCCAGTACACTCACCTGGAAGGTGCGTATGTGTGGAGCCCCCTGACGAACTTCCTGCAGAAGGCTGCCCCTCCAAGAGAGGCCGAGCTCCGGGGACGGCTCCCCGTGCACCAATACGGTCAGTGTGGTTAGAAGACCCCTGCGTTCCCCTTGGGTCCCTCCAGCCGGGGACGGACTGTGAGGTGGAAAGGAAAGGAGGGTGTGAGAGGATGAACTGGCCCCCGAAAGGTAGAGGAAAACAGACAAAGACACAGAGATGTCTCTCTCTCTCCCTCCCCCACCCCGCCCCGCCCCGCCCCGCCCCGCCCCGCCCTGCGCTTACAAGTCACTCTCAGCTTCTCGTTCTCCCGCGCGCTCTCCATGCGCTCGGCTATGGACGCCTCGCAAGTGTAAACCTCAGCATCCGAAGGCTCCAGGTCCCGGATGGTCAGAGTTCCATCCTGCACTGATACCCGACCTAAGGGAGCAGCAGGGATACAGAAGAGACCTAAATGTCCTGTCTTCAGATACCTGCTCCCTCAGGGAGCTAGACATCCAGTCTCCGGGCATCTGGGTCCCTGGCCCCTTACTCACCGTTACCTCCCAGCACCAAGCCCTGATGCTCCCAGGTAATGTTGGGCTGGGGGATCCCTGACACCTTGCATTGCAGCTCCCTGACGGACCCCTCCTCCGCAACGGTGGGGCTGAGATTAAGGCCGAGGATACGGGGCCTCTCTGAGGGGCAAGTAAGGGAAAGAAGTTGGAAAGGGGGAGTTCTGTTGGTCTTTTCTATAGGAATCTCTCCTTTCTTCATCTTCTGCCCTACATCTCTTGTTCCACCCATGTTTCACAATCTCTAGGGTTTCTCATAGCAGAACCTGACCTCTGTTATCTTCCCCATTTCTCAACTCCCCGAACCAGGGGTGTCCTATGCCTTTCCCATTTTCCTGGTGTCCCCAGTGGTGTCCCAAGTCTTACCCCACAACCTCTTCGTGCTCCATCTCCCGAGTCTCCACCCTCCTCCCCCCATTTCCCCTACACACACACACACACACACACACACACACACACACACACACACACACCCGATGGCCCAGAGCTCGAGCATCTTCTCCTCCTCAGTATCTCCAATCTCTGCCACGCACTTTAGGGGCCCACCTTGACCTGGCTCGCTCAGGGTCACTCGGAGCCCCACTGAAGCCTCGTAGATGGGCTCAGCCGAGAAGGAGGACCCTCCAAGAGCCGCCTCCTCCCCATCAGGTCCCAGCCAGCGAAAGCGAGCCTCAACTTCCCGGCCAGACACTGCAAATAACGCACCTGGTCCATCAGAAGACTGAAGTGGAGCCCGGAGAGGCAGATGGGGAGTAACGGAAGAAGATTACAGGGGCACAGATGCAAGAGATACTGGGTGAGAGAATTGGGAGCTCCCCCCTTCCCGGTCACCTTTGCAGATGAATAATAGGAGGTGTCCAGGTAAATGTCTCCGTGGGCCGGGACGATGGTCAGGAACTCGAACTTGCCAGGAACTGTGGCTGCAAGACATAAGGGTATCCTGAAGCTGGCTGGACAGCCCCTGCCCCGTGGCAAGACAGATGTCCGGTCATGCAACCTCAGTCACCCCCAGACCCTTCATGGAACAAGAACATCTGAGCCCACCCAAGCAGCTCCCAATCTCTCAAAGACAAGGACCCAGGAGTCCCATCCCACCCATTCACCTCCAGCCCTTCAGGGTCCCAGACGTCCAGCTCTCCAGGTCTGAGCACTCCCTGATCCTGAGATTCCAGGCCACCCAGCCCTGGACACCCCCAACCCCGTAGAGACCCAGCCTCCCTGCCTCTGAAACCCTTTGACCCCTTGGGGACCCAGGAGTCCCAATCCAGTCTCTGATGGCCCCAGTTCTGCAGGGACCGTGACAGTGCCACACCCGGTCCCCGCTCACCTTCCTCTGCAGCCAGAAATAGAAGCCACCCAATAGCAGGGGTCATAGTGACCAGGACCTCGGATGCTTGGGTTCTCTCTGGAGGGGCAGCTACCCAGACCTGGGGTCCCGGGAGGTAGGTGGAGGGCATCCATTTATCCTTTCCTCGGGCTGACAGATTATCCGGAAGGATGGCTCCGTGCGCAGGTCCTGGGGCCGGGGTCCTAGGGCGGTGGTCACAGGGCTGAGACTAAAAACAAACCCTGAGAAGTAGTCGCCCAGGCCCCGAGCCCCAGGATTTCCGGCCTGCGACGTGAGGCCATGCTGGAGCACGAAGGATGGTGGTCAGACAGGACAGACACTGGCTCTGAACAGGACCTCCCTCTTCCCTCCTCCCCCACCTCGGACTCGGGAGTTCCTGCTGTCCCCCTTCCCGATGACCGGTGACGCACATCCCCTCCTCTTCCCGAGTCCATTTATAAGCCCCCGCCGGCCGGCAGGCGCCCAGAGGGGAGTGGAACAGCCCAGGGCCAGTGTGGCCACTGTGGAGGCGTCGGGGGGTGCGCTGGGGGGGGTGGAGAGAGGATTCCACAAATGCTGGAAAAGTCCCTGCTCTGACCTTTAGCGCCAGCCAGCCAATGAGAAGGGGGAAACGCTTAGTGGGCTGGACCACAGAGGGCTAGGGTAGTTAACTCGTTAACGCGACGAAACAACCTCGACCCATTCATCGCAATTTTCCAACTTCCAATGGAAGATCTGTTTGGATGTTATTTTATTTTGTTCCCCAGTCTAACACAGTACCTGACACACAGTAAGTACTTAGTAAATGTCCCCACCATTTTTCAAGCTCCGAGCTCTCTTGGTCCTCATTCCAAATCTCCCGAGCTCGCCATCCAAACGCAAATCTCATTTAGTTTGTTCCTGGCCTTGACCTGCCCTATCTCTGTTCCCCTATAAACATATATTTCCTATTCCTCTATTCTTCCTTCCTTCCTTCCTGCATTCTAAAATTCTTTCAGTATTCAGTGAACATGCTTATAGCCTCTCCCACTAGAAACTCTCTTCCTTCACCAGAAACCTTGGGTTGCTCTTCACCTTGAACCTCCTCCTCCTTTAGAGAAATATAAACTACTGGACCCAGCCCTTCCCCCCCTTACACACACACACACACACACACACACACACACACACACACACACAGAGACCAGCACAACTTCCTCAAATCTGTCTCCTCCTGGAGCACACCAGGGCATCTTGACTCTTTTCTCCCCGCCTCCCCATTGACAGTCCTGGCCCCCTGTTTTAAACTAAAGGCCCCTTCCTGATCTCTGAGAAGAGAACTTTGGATTCTCAGCCCCTGTGAAGCAAATCGCTCACTCCCAATCACACATACACACACACACACACACACACACACACACACACACACGCTTTAATTTGTGATCCAGTAAATTGTATATGGGGTTCCTCTCCAGCTTCTGGGCTGAGGATCTAGGTAGATCTGTGTGCCTATATTAAGGCTGGCATTTGGAGGAGGAGGGTGCAGGGGGGTGAGCAATCATTTGGAGGTTAGAATGAGCCAAATTATAGAGGATGAATGGGTATATTTTGGGTGGGGATTAGAGTGGCGATTGTTAGGAAAGATATGAGGGGGTGGGATTTAGGGCTTTAATATGGGGGTTAAGTAAGAAGTATTGGGGGATGTGAGGAAATAACAGAGCAAAGGGAAATGTATAGAGGGGATGACAGTGGGTGTTTCATGGCTGTTACATGGGACGTTATGAGGATTTTGTGAAATGAAGATTCAAATGAGAAGGGGTTGGAGCAAGGACAGGTTATGAGGAGATGGGGTTAGGATGAAGAGAGCCTAGTGGAGACCCATTGGGGTAGCAGGTTGTCAGCTAATCCAGGCTAGGGCTCAGGTAAGGGAGACCTTTGGCTGGTACACATGCTGGTGTGGGGACCAGTCAGCTGTGTGCATTTCCCTTCCTTGCCCCTCTCTCACAGGTACCCACCCATTGGAATTCAGGGTGGGGAAGGTTGTGGATATGATGGTGGTGATGGGGCCACCACCAGAGAAGGACCATTTGTTTTACTCCATTAGCTCCTTCCTCTTCTGTCTGCCCCTTGGCATTGTGGCTGTGGCCTGGTCCCTACAGGTATGACCCCTCTTTGATTCACCTGCTTCTTCCCCAGACCACCAGTCCCCACCCTCTCCACTCCATAACCTGTCCTTTTCTCCATGTCCCCCTTCCCCAGGTATTTTTTTGCCTGGGTCCTGTCCCTGACTCAGTCTCCCCTTCCATGAACACACAGGCTGTCTCCCTTTACCCATTGCCTCTGCTCCCCCTAAACTAGACACTCCAACAGGCAAGGTGCTCTCTAGTTTTCCATCTTGACCTTCACCCTGGGCATCATTACTTACTGCATTCTCCCTATCTCTGGTCTACTCATTCCCGCCATGACTGAGGAAGATGACCACCTACAGAAATCAACCAGCCTTTTCCCTTATCCATTCCCCCCAAGTTGGTACCCCATATTACAACCAATTCTTCAAAGCCTCTTCCACTACCTCACCTGGAGCAAGGGGACAGAGACTCCCAATCCCAATTATTTCACCTTTCACCCCTGCACTGACCCTAACTCTCCCTCCCCAGATTCACCTGGGATATGAGTGAAACACCCCCCCCCGGGGCAACCTTCCCATTTTACTCAATAAATTTTATGCCTTTTTTTCAATTTGTGGGTAGACGATTTTGCATTATGTGTTTATGGTTCTTTATGGGTGTCCTTGTGTGTGTGTGTGTGCTACTGTGGCCTTTTGTGCATCTATGTGAGGGTTTGAGTGAAGCCTTAGAGTCCTCACTCTTCTTCTCTACTTCTCTAGTGTCCTTGAGCTTGCTTTAAAAAGAATTTGGCTGACTGTATTTTACTATAATTGGCTTCCTTTTTAATTCCATGTATCTTATTTTATGCATTTAAAAACATAGTGCCCAGCTGGGGTATTATGACGGAACAGGATTACTGTTCAGGCCAATCTGTCTTGAATTCAGAAGAAACACCCAGCTATGATCACCTCCAATCTGACATAAATCCCATGCAGGATCAGACTGCTGAGCCAGAGACAGAATTAAAACCTTCCCTCTTCTCCCATTCTTTGTGAGCCTTTGTGAACAGAGACCTCCCCAGTCCTTCTGGGAGGTCAAAAAGAGAAAAACATTTCAAAGGGAGAGACAGCAATGATTCTCTCTCATGGGAGAAGGTGAATTTGTATACTGTCTTTTCCTTTTCATTCTATGTTCATTAAGGCTGCAATGAAGACAATGTTATAGTTGGAACCAATGCCAGGATGGAAGGAGGAAGAAGTGACCCTCAAAGGGAAGGGCCATGTCCAGGTAATTGCAACAATTTCTATGTTTTAATACTATGTTTCATCTCCCAGATTACAGCTCTGGGAGAGCTCATAATGAAGTTTCATTGGTACCTCAGAGAAACCAGGGCTACTGTGGGAGAGCAGATCAGGCTTGGAGAGGCCAGAGCGGATCTACAGGGGCCTGCTAAAAAGTTAGTGGCTCCAGGGGCAGCTAGGTGGCATAGTGGATAGAACACCAATCCTGGAGTCAGGAGGATCTGAGTTCAAATGTGGCCTCAGACACTTGACCCTAGCATAAAAAAAAAAAAAAGGCAGTGGCTCCACACATTTCAGGCCAAGAGGGAACAGTTCAACTAGAACACAACCTTTTGGCAAATTCAACTCTAATGGGATATTTACTTAGGTGACAAAAAATATCAAACGCCTCCACCCTATGCCAGGTAATATGTGGTTGATGAAGGAGGCTATGGGGCTAACATGGGAGAGGGAGGGTTAGAAAGGAGCAGCATGTTTGAACTTGGAGTTAGGAAAGTCTAGCTTCAAAACTTGCCTCTGATACTAGCTTTATGTCATTGGAAAAGTCTTTTCAACTCTCTGAGATTTAGTTTCCTCATTTATAAAATGGAAAAATAACACCTGTAGGTTCTTCTGAAATTCAGAGGAGATGTAGCTCCAGGAGAATTTTGCTTCACTGTCTTTGCTTTATGAATTTCTCAACATCATGAGGGGAAGTAAGAGCAGATTCAGAGACCTTTCTGCTATGAGGAAACTATTTGGGGATTTTATGAACTCCCTCTGCATCAGAGAACAGTAAAAACATACCGATGGCTGTAATTTACAGCCATTTTTTTTTAAATTTCAGGGATGGGTTTGAAAGAACACAGGGATGCCAGGTCCATACAGGGTCAAAGGGAGGAGATACCATGCCTGGAGCAGGGTCTCCCAGAGCTTATTTTGGGCCTCAAGCTGTTTCAAATCCTTCTCAGTGATGGAACCTGATAAGACTTCTCCCCCTCACCCTTGCTTTGTACTTGAAGAATGCTTTGAGATTCCCCCACCCAACCCCACATATCATGGTCAGGTGTGCTTGGGGACTTCTCAGCCTAGAAGAGGAAGGGAGGAGGGTGCTGGAAATATTAGAAAGATAATGTGATGACTGTCCCAGTGAGGGAGTAGGAGAGTAGATCTGTTTCATAATCACTATAATTTTACATATATTAAAACTGCATAAATCCATAAAAAGTCTACATTTTAATATTTTGACAATCAACCCTAGGACATAAACTAGGGAACCACCCAGAGCAGACAAGGGGTCTTCTTGGAAAAAGTGAGAAGGCAAAAGCCAACTGGCTTCCATTGAGAAAGAGAAAGGTCCAGGCGCCACCTAGTGACTCACTCAGATACGGACCTGAGTTGTTCCACAAAATATCAATGTATTGAGATGCCTCTCAAGGAGGTGCGGTGGGGAGGATTCAGGGACGAAGGTAACGTCAAATACTTATTTTTATTAGAAAATGTTTAACCTAGTGATTAAATTTTGAGCTATTTGATAGTTGCCTTCTTGTATGCTTGAAGAAATTGGAACTGAGTCATACACCACTTAATGTTTGTAAAGAGCTGTGAAAACTTTAAGGGAAAGAGTGTGTACCCATGATTCCAATGGTATTGGGCGCTCTTGGGTAAAGAAATCCCCTCTACCAAGGCAGGTCAGCAACTTCTAGCCTTGTGCCTGGAGCACTGAGGTTAAGTCAGTCAGGCAATGTCCTCACTACCTGCCAGGCACCGGGCCTAAGCACTGGGGTTAAAAATAAGGGCAAAAATAGTCCCTGCCTTCAAGGAGTTTACAGTCTAACAGGGAAGACAACATGCAAACAACTAGCAACATACAATATTATTTAGAGGGGATGGAGGAAATCACAGCAGGTTACAGAGAGGAGAGGCTTCACCCAAAAGGATTTGTCTCAAAGGAAGCTAAGAGACCTATGGGTGTGGAGGGAAAGCATTCCAAGTATGAGGGACAGACAGGTGATAAGGCACTGAGACAGGAGATAGAGGCAAGGAGGCAAATGTTGCTGAATTGCAGAGGGTATAGAAAGGAATAATGTGTAAGAAACCTAGAGAGGTAGGAAGAGGCTGGGTTATAAAGAGGTTTAAATGCCAGAAAGAGGAC